ATTTCAGCATTGAGGGTCTAATTGCCGAGGGGAGTCGCTTTCTGTCTGCGTCTGTCCAGGGCTCGAGCCTCGCATCTTTTTGGGGTCATGCTTGTTCGACCTTGAGTGCAATGCTGCGCGAAACAAATACACGGCTGGCAAATCTTTGCTTGGATATCTCGACCCTGGTACCTTCCATAGCCGTAGCCGAAGCCGTCATCGCGGGAAGAACCGTGACGGCATCATGGGCATCGGAGAACGTGTCGAAGACTTTTATGGCAGCAGCAAAGGGGCAAAGAGCTGCCCTCCATGAAAATGCACAGGCTTGATGTCCGAAATCGTTTCGGATCTGCGCAACTCAGCCTAGTCTGTGTAGGTATATAATAAGCGATACAAGATGGAATCCAATGCAGCTTACCGTGCAGTGTGTATGTTGGTTCCTGACTCTTCTTCTTACATGGGCTGGACATCATCCCTCACTCAAGGCACACATCTCAGAACAGAGGACACTCATGATGAGGTGTTCCCCCTCTGTCCCGGAAGAGGCTGTACTTGAGATGTGTGCCATGTACAGAGTTGCCATCTTGCCATCTTGTTAGAGTGGCAGGCAGAAAGCTAGCTGGCAAGGTGGGGCTCTATCCTGCAGACTCCAGACAATCAGTTGAAGCTGCAATGTTTGGATGATTCTCTCGACAGCTGTAGTGAATCTGTTAAGTTTAGGCAGGCATGGTCGACGTTCCTCAGGCAGTCCGATCACGGCCACCCCACACAACCCAAGGAAGGGCAGCGCCTACAGAAAGGAATGCTTTCTATCCTCAGGAACAGAGCCAGGCGACAAGAAGCGCGATCCAATGTATGTGGTGTCTCCATCGACTGAAGAAATGCCAAAGCACTCAGATGTTGTCCACATCAACACCAGCCGTCTGGCGCAAAGCTGACGAGGAAGGTTTGGAATCATGATTATGTAATTATGTACAACTTGGGCACATGCGAAACCAAGAGCAGCACCGAAAGAAGCGGCAAATGGCTGTTGGACCGTGGCTTTTCATGTCGACCCGACCCCCGCTTAGTCTTATGCTGGATTGGGTGACTTTTTGTACAGCTGAGAGGAGCAGCACCGAAAGAGGGATTGGACCGTGACTGTTTGATCATGCTACGAGTAAACTCGATTATTTTTCTGCTGGGGGACGTTGTCCCCATGCTTTCTGAGCTGTGGGGCCTCTTGCTGGTGCAGGGTCGAGGAGCCCCCAACAACAAAAACAAATCCGCCACGCACATTGGTAAGCTATGAACTTTACTTTACTTCCTCGCAGGCTGTTGGGTCGCGCATGAAAGCTGCGGGCCCTTGTCTCGTTCCCGAGGAGCAAAAATTTGGCTGAAGGACTATCAGGTGGGCAGAGCGACGCATTGTCGTGCAACGTGCACTGTAACGGCAGGATGTCGGAATTAGGACGGGTCGTTTTCTGCAGCCTGATAGCAGGAGGTGCTGCGCGATTGACAAAGCTGTGCTGGCGGCTTGTTGGCTGGAGGCTGAAAACAAGTGTCCATTAAACAAGCGGGTGCAATGACATAACGTGCAGGTGAAAGGGGAAAGGGAGCTTAAGCACAACGGCATCGTCCCGAGGCCGATTGGCATGCACACATGTGGTTTGGAAACAGAACAATGACAAGAGAACAGATACACGTGCAACAAGGAGCACAAGCTGGGAGCAAAGCGCGGGAACGGTGACAGAAAGACAGAAGCCTAATGACAACTAAATGGCTGCCCACAAGAAACACTATAGATTGTAGCAAGACTAGGATGTGAACGGCCACTCTTGAGTTTCTGCCCCTTCAAGAAGATGATGTGCCCTGTGTCTCTGAGTCGCGGCGGATGGCTAATTATTATAACAGAAAGGCTGGATGCCTGCGGCTTGTCTGCGCCGCATACTCCCATAATAACAAATTAGCAACTCTCATACGAGCCTAGAAGCATATATATATATATATATATATAGACATATAAACGTGCATATTTGGCTCCCGTTGGGCTGATCCGAAGACCGCATTGCAGGTCACACGTTTATATATATATATATATATATATGGGCGCACCCCTATTTGATGTCCCCTACGTTTTTCGCTATACCAACTGACTCGGTTATAACCACCAGACTAGGTTATAACCAGCCGACTAGGTTATAATCAGGTGTACGTCATCGACTACAGTATTATATCCGGTTTGAAGACCAACCCGGGAAGTTGCAACAACCCATGCTTTCAGAATGCTGAAACCCGCACAACGCTAAGAATTCTATGACACCCTCGTCGAAACCCTGTTACAATGTGCTACAATCCTTGCCTTGAAGCCGTCGATATATCTTCGTAGTTCATCTTTGTGCGACTGTATCTAAACCGCTGTATTTCAGTTTTTTCCAACAAGCGCGCCGTAGTCATGAGTCTGCTTCAGTCATTCCTTATCGCGAACTAGATTTTGTAACGAAAAGTTCTCCATCTTTGTACTGTAATGCCGCAATCCCACCAAAGTCTCTGTTGTTGGACGCATTGCTATGACGTTTTGGCAAACTGATAGCTTTCAATGACATATCCCTGTGCCCCTATGTGATTGCTTTTAAACACTGGCATATCCGGTAGGTGTATTTGAGTGGTGCATTCCTTAATTCTGTATGACGGCTGCCCCAAGCCAAAATTGAAAACTTGCATACTACAAGCTTAGCAAACGTTGTATAGTGTTTTTCCTGGGGGACGACATGAAGCGTCGCTTCTTAGGACGCGCACTGTCTCTATATGCTGAATGATGAAGCCAGTGTTTTTTGTATCAGCATACTTTAACCATCACGTAAAGCCGACTGAAAACCATAAGGCTACATCTAGCTCGTCCGAATTTCTGTTTGTGCTCTTGTGAATATTCACTGAAGGTCGAATAGAAGCCATTGTTCCCAGTCCAGAACGTGATCCTCGTGTTAGAAAAAGTGGTAACCACACACCGAATCACTCCTCGAAAGAGGTTCATCCATGTAGTTGGAAATAGCAGTGCTAGGAATTTTCTACGTACCGAGCGAGGAAACCTAACAATTTGCAAGTTGCAAATTTTGTTTCGCTCACCACACATATTCTTATCAGTTTTGTCTCGTCGAAATCCGGCTTCCTTGGAACGATGTTTGAACATAACGTTGCAACCAGTTTGCCTATGTACGAAGTGATGAAACCTGACCACGCTGTAAACTTTGAAATACTGTCTCTCCCCTACAATGACGTCGTATCAGTCGTATCTCAACTTTCTGTGTACCGTGATATTCCAATGTTGACAACACTTACTGACCTACTGTAATCCCGATAGAGCCCCTTCATATTCCGCATTTTGATTCCTGGGTGAGTGACATGTTAGCGGCTATTCTCTCAATGTGTACACTGATCTCATAAACCCGATGTACTGGAACGGACAGACCATTATGTAAAGTCCGCCATATAGCCTTTCCGCTAAAGTTGGGGAATGCGCACATGGTCCCCGGAATTATGTTTGTTACAGAGCACTGCATCATGCCTCAGCAACCGAATACATGCCAATTACCTCGGACCCTCTATTCTTCTAGTCCTTGTTTAATTTCATTGCGGTTACATTCACTGAGACACCGAAACTTTCGAACGTTTGGATTTAGGTGTTGATGAAGTAGCGGTGGCACAGGCCTGGTTATAACCTCTGTCCCCGGTTATAACCAGGACACCTGCGTAGTAGACAGCCCTAGACCCATCACTAAACCATTAAACCATCAACAAACCATTAAATTAGTACACCGTTAAACCAATCCTTTCCCCCAATGGACCCATACCAATAAACCATTAAACCGATCCTTTTGCCCCATACCACTAAACCATTAAACCAATCCTTTACCCCATACCACTAAACCACTAAACCATTAAACCATTAAACCAATCCTTTCCCCCAATGCCCCTAAACCACTAAACCATTAAACCAATGCTTTCGGCCCATACAGGGATGTGTCTCTCTCTATAGGGGAAATGATTGGTTTAATGGTTTAATGGTTTAGTGGTATGGGGCAAAAGGATTGGTTTAATGGTTCAATGGTTTATTGGTTTGGGTCCATTGGGGGAAGGGATTGGTTTAATGGTTTAATGGTTTATTGGTGTGGGTCCATTGGGGGGAAAGGATTGGTTTAATGGTTTATTGATTTGGGTCCATTGGGGGAAAGGATTGGTTTAATGGTTTGATGGTTTAATGGTTTAGGTGTGCAAAAACCCAGGGGACCCCATATAGGGGGCTACCCATATATATATATATATATATATATATATGTGTGCGTGTGTGTGTATATATAAACGTGTATATAGATATACATGTATGTATATATATATATATATATATATATATACACTTGTATATAAATAAATAAACATAAATGTATAAATATAAATATATATATATATATATATGTTGACCCTCGAGAGGACTGCAGCGGCCAGCTGCCTCGTCGAACTCCACACCATCCTCGCTGTCATCACCATCGCCGATATCCGTCTCGTTGATCTTCACCTTAGGCGTGGGCTCTTGGGCTTCGCAGAGTACTTACATTGTGTTAGTTCTCGGAACTGCTGATTGCATTGCTCGATTGCTCGGTGCAGGATCAACCTCTCGCCTGAAACCATTTTTTGTCCTCGACATGCTCGTAACGCCACTCTCCACTCTCGAGAGTTTTTGGCCACGGCAAAAGCGATGAGTCAGCGGCTCTGTTGGCAGTTGGTTCTACGCAGTTCGAGATACCTTTGGCAGTTCATGTGTTCTTTTTCTTGGTGGCAGAAGAAATCCTGTGCACGGGCTTGCGCAATCCAATGCCAAGAGAGGCTTTGCCTGTGAATTTCGTCTCAACATAACTGTTCTTGGCCTTTGTGTTTGTCTTCAGCAGACGCCAGGAGTTCAAGGCTCCTGCACTCATTTGGCTCCAGACTTCATGGTTCGTGCTTTTCTTCTAGCTCGGGCTCGAGGCAGTCGAAATCACAACACTTTAGCACCATGAGGTTGTCCGAACCGAGACGTCCAAGCGCGAGAAGTTTAGAGACATCCGAGCGGCGTTCTCAGGCAACTCGCCGTAGTTCTTCAAGCTTCGCGCCTCCTCGGCGGTGTATTTCGTGATGATGTCACCTTTTTCGTCCTTTCGAGACGCGCAAAAAATATGGATTGTGTCGACACTTGAGCTCGGGCAGGGTTCATCGCGAGAGCTGGCAAAGTTGCTTACCTTAATCACGTGCTGGATTTTGAACCAACCAGGGAGAAAAATGTAGGCTTTTACTTCCTACTGGTTCGTTAAAGGAACAGGTACCCCAAAAAAGCACTCAAGTATGGTAATTACTCCAGAACCGAGTGTGCCACCCTCGAAACCAAACCTGCTCTCCAACCCCTGCTGCCATCGGACGGTCCTAGGTTCAGTGTCTGGGGGCTTCTTTCGGCCAAACAGCATTCGTCTTAGGTCCAGATGTGCTTAACACGCTCGCTCGGGGTTCTAGTCTTCACGGATCTCTGCAAGGGTGGATGGAGGACGTGCACCTTGAGGTTTCGTCAGCTGCTGGTAACGTGCAGCAGCGGAAGCAGTTGGGACTTAGCAGCAATCTTTGCTTTGTGAGGAACACCGAAACCCAATAGCAAACACACGCAAAATGTATGCGTATACATATACATGTACATATGTATATATATATATATATATATATATATATATATATATATACATGTATGTATGGTGTATCATATCATTGACAGTCCTACAGAAAGAGCTGACGGAAAAGTGCTGCGCCTGGAAGTCTCGCAGAGAAACCAAGACGATGTCGCCCTGGTTGCACCAAACCTTCTTCCTCATCTTACCTGAGGTTTGAGGTCCCTAAAACCCTAGAGGACCTAAAGCCTGAATCCTCATCTTGCCTTTCACTTGAGCTCTGCAATTTTGTTCGGGTAAAAAGTTCTCGATTTCTTCTGCCCGACTTGATCGACATTTTTCACTTGGGTTGATTTCAAGGGCCAAGGACCTGTCGTCCTCGATACCGAGAGACTAACACGTTAGATCAGAATCTCTCATCTACATGCGGCGCCTGAAAAGCAATCGCTAGCCGCTAGCCGAAAGCAAGGAAAACAGTTGCTGTGGACACATATGACACCATAGACAAGTAGAGGAGGTGGAGCTCGAAGCATGGCATGGTGGAGAGCACATGCGGTAGATCTTCAGCCAAGGTACCGCGAATGTGGCACAACCTCAGGCTAGGCCAGAATTCTATATCCCAGTTCAGCAGGCCGCTAAAATTCCCGAGCACTGCACCTCAAAGTCCGAGAAGCCTTCTTGTCAATGCGAAGCCGGCAGTGCAAGCCCTTCCCGAAATCAACATCGAAGCCGACGTGTGCATGATTTCTCCAGTGCTGACGGTGTTCCTGTCCCCCGTCATGGGTGCGAACCCAGAATGCAACAAAGGGTCTAAGTCTAAGCTAAGGATGACCGTCGCATATTTCTTCGTTTGTACATTGGGTGGGAGGCGTTCTGTATCTGCAGGGGGCTAAACAAAATGCCTCACAAACTATAAGAAATCCGTTGAGATGCAGGCATCCACCGAGTAAAAAACGAAACATCCCGAAACCAGAAGCTCCTGCGCATGAATTCGATTGCAGCTAGCCTATGCATTTTTGAACCCGGGCTTGCTGGCTGCCAGGACTGACCCTCCGAACTGTTGCCAAGGATCCAGAAACGAAGAAACCAGTATCGAAAAAAACGGCTCGTGTGATCGCCCTAGCACATGAAAAACAAATGCTGATGTGGAGCCGCTTCACGCCGTCAACGCACTGCACGTCACAGCGACCATTTCCAAGCATGCGGGTGATTTGACCATACTCCTGTGAACACGGCTGTTGAATGCCTGCTACTGCGAGGGTGTGACCGTGTAGCGCAAACAAACAATTTAAGCTGTGGTTCTACATGTAAAGCACGGCAACACAAACTCGCGCGGCTTGAGGGATAAACCTACCGATGGAACATTGAAGGCTCAGATTCCGCAAACCATGAGCACCATACCGCGCACACACACACACACACACAGAAAACCTGCGGAGGGAAGCAGGAGCAACACTACTAGCCACTCTGGCCACCACCACCAACGAAAACACGGAACAAGAACAACGACAACAAGTGCTCGTCATCGGCGGCGGCAGAAGGGCAGCCGAAGCAGTTGCAGTGATGTCGGTAGCGGTTAAGGCTATAGTACTGGCAGAAAGTCGTCTTAGTAGTAGTCGTCGTCGTGGTGGTAGTAGCAGCAGTTAGTAGTAGCCCTCGTCGTCGTAGTGGTCGTGGTGGTGGTGGTGGTGGTAGCAGTAGTAGTAGTGGTGGTGGTGGTGGTGATGGTGGTCGTCGTCGTCCTTGTCGTGGTCGCCCTGGTGGAGGCAGCAACTGCAACGGTAGTGGTGGTGGCGGTGGTAGGGGCCGTGAACTTGTTAGATGTAGCAATAGCATTAGTCGTCGCGGTGGTGATGATTGTTGTGGTGGTGTTGGCGGTGGTAGTAGCAGTAGCAGCAGTAGTAGTAGTAGTAGTGGTGGTGGTGGTGGTGGTGGTGGTGGTGGTGGTGGTGGTGGTGGTAGTGGTGGTGGTGGTGGTAGTGGTAGTGGTAGTGGTAGTGGTAGTGGTGGTACTAGTAGTAGTAGTAGTAGTAGTAGTAGTAGTAGTAGTAGTAGTAGTAGTAGTAGTAGTAGTGGTAGTAGTAGTAGGAACACCAGCAGTGGTAGCAATAGTAGCAGCCGTTGTCGTCCGTTGCTGTAGTCGAAGAATGCTACTAGCAGCAGGAGGAAGAAGCATGGCGCGCGGTAGTTGTGCAAGTGGTGGCAGCAGTCGGTCAGCATCGATGTACATTGCGCGTCGATATGCAGAATGAATCAACCCCAGCCCAAAACAGCCATGCACAATCCTGCATTCTGACCGCCGGGGGGGGATTAGGACATGATCCAAGCGATCTTCTGAGCCTGAAACTCTTGAAACATCGGCTCCCAAGCTCCTGTCCATCCTCCTTGAACTCCAGCTCCTTCTTGTTGTTCTCAGTGCTCGCCTTGAGTAACATTCGAAGAGACACGGGCCATAGATGGTGTCTGTCACAAACCTGCTACCAGTAGCAACCAGAACAGCCACACTCAACAATCCCGTCCGAGCAATAGCTAAGAATGTGCTTTGCTGCCAAATGCTTGATGCATCTTGCACCAAGGGAAGCAACCGTTTGGTTTTGCGTTAAGATGCAAAACAGCCTGAAAGGCGGAAACAATTCGATTCCCGAGCCCACTTAGACCATGGAGGCCCAAAGAAACACTGCACTCCCCCATGGCGTCTATTGCCAGCCTTTTGGGTCCCAATGTCAGTTGCCTTGAGAAAGGCTTCTCGGGATCTACTTGCTGAGATTTCCTGAGCTTGCTCGCAGAATGCCCATTGCTGTGGGTATGGCTGCACATCTGCACGGACACACAGCAATTCGCTCAGGTCGCCATCGTCGACCCCATGCTTCCCCCATCTTCCCCTAGAGACGCCAATTTCCCCGAAAACACCGTACTTGAAGCCTCGGAATCCCGACGACAAATCCTGAACCCAAGCACATGGCCTTGGCACGCTTGGCCTTGTTTCCGCCAAGCTTGTTCTTCGGCATGGTGTCCGACCTTACATGTTGGAGTTCGCAGCTACACAGCACCGCGGATCCCGGCCACTTCCAGTAGAAGCTTCAACATCGACGCCACAGTGTAAAACGGACACAGCACCAGCCTCTGAGGCTCCCAATGTCAAGCCCTTGGAGGTCTGATGCTGTATACGCGCGGATCGATAGAAAGGCTGCACGCACCCGAAAAGCCTTGGACTTATTGAACCGCGATCACAGATCTGAGGCCATGGCTGATCTAGACAAAAAGCTCGAACACGCGATACGGTGCACTGGAATTTCTGCTAGCGAGCCGAAAGCCAGCAGCAGGAAACCCCAAGCTTCTCGCGGATGCTTGGAGGAGAGCATCTGCCTGCACCTAGTGTCATGCTTCCAGCCGTGTCGCTCAGGAGCCTCTGAACAGGCCGGGCCCTGAAACACAGAGCATGCAATTCCTGAGCCTAAGACCCTTCCAAACTGCATACTTTCTCAGCTCGATTGAAAGCTTACACCACTCGAACTGGGTTGACACGAATTTCCGGATGTCCAAAGCCAAAGGGCTGAGATTGTAACTCGGTTTGGACTCCTACAAGTAGGACAACTGCTCAGAACTCGATGACTCATGTGTGCATGTGCACACTGAGTGATCGAATCTTTTGGCATATGCCGGGCAAACGCAAACGTCTCTGCGCACTCACCAGCGCCGCTTCGAGTCTGTGTTGCATTGCAGGATGTAGCCCATGTCCTCGGTTCGAGGAGGCCTTGAACTAATTACACGGAATCATCCGATCAAAAGCACAGCCTCATGGGCCCCTGCAGTTATTTCTGAACCGGAGCACCTTGCAGGAGCGGCTGGGGACGGCGGCCTTTTCAGTTTGACCTGAAAACCACCGCGGCAATTCACACAAGACGGCAGGCTGCAGACATCAAGTCGAGGGTGCATGGCGGTACTTTGATGGTGTTCTGTTGACAGTGGGCGTGGAGCGAGACTCATGCAGTTGAATGTTCGACAACTAGACTACAACTAGGCACCAACATTCGCCGAATGCAGAGGCAAGCCGGATCATCTCGGATCTACATGCCCGGCCACCTCGCAAGCGATCGCCGTGTTGGACCTCACACCCAAAGGCTGAATCGGAGGAGTTCAAACCCTCTGGTCTGCAGCGGCGGAACTGTGGCTCTCGCCGCTCCAGTCAGTCATCCTTTTTTGAGGTTACCTGCCGGAAGCTAAGAGTAACCGCTTCCCTGCCATCATGCAGCCAAAGACTAAGAGAGCTGCAGCTGGTCATGGAATGGAAATGAGCCTCCTACATGAAAGTCTGCAGTCTGTATCAGCCACTCTTTGCCACGCGGCAATGGGGAGTCTGAGACTAGACAGAGAAGCATAATATAGCATAATCGAATTGGAAAGGAGCAGGAAGCGGAAGAGGGCCTCCTCATGTGCCTCGGACCCTTCCGTTTCAGCAGCGCGGCGTTGCCTCGCAAATAACGGGTTACCAAAGCCTCTACGACCGGACTTTTGCCCCGGCAAGTCTTAAAACCACAAAAAGTCCCTGCTTGAACTCAGCAAAGAAGGATCGAGGAGGCTTCGCCCCGGCTCAGATGCGCATGGATGCAGAGTTGGGTCAGAAGGAGAAAGCACCGGATATCCATATTGGGACAATTCCTTTCAAAAGCAAGTGCCATCTCGGCCGGACGTCCCATGAAGGCCAAATCCACTACACTACATCCCGTCCCGCAGGGCTCCGAGCGCCAGCTCTTTGAGTTGATCCTGGGAGGTCTGCCCAGAGGTTGGTTGGTGTTTGAACGAAGTCACCTGGGATTGGGAGTTTAAGCTCGAGCCACGGAGGGCGCAATCAATCCTTGCACTTAACGCCCTTACGTGGATGGGAAGTGTAGGAAGTGGAACTCAATCAACCCTGCCAAGTCCGCGCAGTTCTACGGTACTTGTAGCACAACTAACCTGAAGTAATCGACTGGCAATGTTCAATGGGCTCGAGCCCCGAAGCTCACAACGGGACAACGAACACGAGATTGATTAGATTGTCAGGCACCTCATCGGCTCAGTGCTACCTGAACGGAACCCTGGCCCAACACCATAGCTTCATGACGCTTCATGGAACGAGTAACATTAGTAAAGTAATCGTGTTTGGCTTGGGGAACATCGACATGCTCGGCCCTTAAACTTCGCAAGTCCTCGTGTAGACGCAGTCTCTGCGACTGTTGACGTTCCATGTGGCCTGAAGAGGGGACATCGTATGATGGGGTTTCAAGCTGCATGAGGCTCAGCTGGGTCGGCTGGGCAAATCGTCCGATGTGTAGCGGCTGAAGCACTCGAAGTCTTGAGGCTTTGGCACACTAGCGCGCCAACTGCTATCAACGCAACGGCAATGATTTGCAGCCTTGGCCAACAGAGAAACAACCCATGCACCCGTGCTGAGGGCCGTCCGCTAGGAAGCACAACTCGTCTTTCCTCTAGCAGAAGCTTTCGCCCAGGTCCGGCAGAGGCCACGATGCATCCATGCGCTGATGTGCTTCCAGATCTGTGGGCCGTGCCCGTACTTTGCGAGCAGCGTGGCCACAGACTAGGGGGGACAATTGACGAGTGCAGTTCTCAACTGGCAACATGTCCTACAAGCATCGCTCGGTAAGCACGACTGTCAGCTTTGCTGCTGCTCGCAGAAATGGAAGCAAGTGGTGCACAACCTGCTATGTAGACACGACAACATGTGCAACAAAGGCCGAGACGATGGAGACTCGGTGGTACAATGGCCTCACAAGGCAAGGGCCGCGGGTCTAATTACAAAACACGTAAATGGAGGAGGAGTCTGTCTGTTCTGGCTCCGTCGTGTCCTGTGTGCCTCGGCTCCATGAGAGCAAGTTCGAACCTCCCATTACCAAAAGCATGGGCGAAAGCATTTCAGCAGCACACGGGGCCAACCACTATCCTCGGCACTGTACGACTGGAACGGGTTCTGAAGGTGAAGCCTCTCCTTACCAAAGCATCGCGGTGCCACCTCATGCCTTTTGGGATAGTGGCGAGAAACATGTGCATCGCCCGACAGTGCGACGCCCACGAACATTTTCCGTGGTTGGTGAAGTTGTGGGGCGTGCACGTTACACAACTTGACGTAAGGTACTAATCGGTGGCAGGCGTCGGGGTCAAACTTGCCCCTCGTCAAAGCTTCAAACCCCGATCGAGTTAGGACGAGGCGCACCCACCTATCTTCCTGGGACCCAAGCGAAGCACGACGATTCAAAACCAATGTCATGCGTGACTTGGCGCAGCGCCGGCGTGCCAAACAGCAGCCGTGACACACAACGCCCCAGAGACCCCCCCCCCCACTCGACTACATGCCACACCGCATGTCCAGCAGCCCAGCAACCAAAGGTTTGTTCAAGCTCGTGAGAATCATTGTGTCTTGAAGGTGTTGCATGTGCGCACTGCAACACGAGAGCTATCCAAAACCAGAGTAGATTGGGGCCGGCGCCGGTCAAACGGATACATGTCGCCTTCTTGCCCTTGATGACCTGCCGAGATCTTGCCAGATTGTGACCGCAAATGGTTTTTCACTGCCTGTTGTTGCCTTGCAAGGCCCACGGCTCCAAATTCTCCAAACCTGGCCACAGCAATCGTTTGCTTATATACAATATAATCATACATACTCATATTTAGTTATGTATGTATATATATATATATATATATGTATTACCTCGACACGGCCGAAGTCCGAACTTCTGGGACTGTGGCTTCTGCGTCCGGAAAATCCATACCTCATGACATGTAGAAGTGCTGTGCCGCGAATCGTTGTTTCCTAACACACTGGACCCGGAGCCTGTGCCCAATTCAGACGCGGCACACCCTGCCGTTCGAAATGAGTTTCAAGGTCGGGAAGCCACGCACGTCGAACATGTTCGACAAGTACTGGGACTGGCAGGTTGGGCACGCGAGTGGTCGCGCAACTTCTTGTGGCACTCGTCCACATTGCTGCAGGCTAAACTTCCGATCGGAATCTGGAAAAAGCAATGTCGCAAAGCCTCTGTACAGTCCACCTTGCCGACGTTGACTTGACCTAGCATTCAATTTACGCAGAACTTGCGAATCTGTCGTGATCAACGGCAAGGATCTCACAAACATGTCAACGTCTCGGGCCATGGCCTTGAACTTTCTTCGCCAATGATTCCCATGTAGGAGCTATCATCTGCAGAAGCCCACACCACCCAGCAAACAACAGATAGTGCTGCACAGTGCCTTGCAGTGTCCGCACCACGGCCTGGTTGCAAACCCTTCGACAGCGATGCGTGGCCAGTGCACTGACCGTGACCAAGCATCGCACGCATAAAACTTCACGACCCATGGCCTCAGTTCAATTGCGATCTGTGTCTAAAACTACACCACTGCATCGTGCCACAAGCGGGGTACGTGGACACCGACAGAACCAGCAACCACAAAAAGAATGCGAGTCGCATTTTGGGAAAACACCGAAAATCTACGGTTGAGGGCTCTGGTCTGCCAGCCTGTCTTCGCCGCGCATGACCAGGTCCTTCACGTGCCGGTATCCATGACGACGCAGATCATTGTCATGCCATGCACTAGATATTCTGAACTCGCTCCTGGAAATTGCTGTCCGTCAAGTTCACGACCAGTGACTGCCACAGGCTCAGGACAAGTCTTGCCACCAGACATCCCCGATGACACCAACACTTGCTGAAGCTGCCAAGTCAGGTGCCTCCGTGACACATGTACGAGTACAAAACCACGTGCCGCCGAGCAACGACCAACAACGACAAGGACAAGAACAAACATGGGCCTCTGCTTCTTCTGCCAATGCATACTTCAAGTTCGCCAAAGCTACGGCAATGCCCAGGATGGCACCTCCAAGCGCATGTCACACGAAGGAATGGTCCTGTATGAATTCTGTGCGACAAGAACATCTGGCACCCAGTGTAGCAGCACTGCCCATGGCGAGATGGATTTTAATTGCCACAATTCAAGACGGCTGTGTGTTGGAGTGTCAGCGCCTTACACGTGAAACGTTTGCCATTGCCTTGCCTTTCCACGTGATTAGGAGCACATGTTTTCAGGAACCCTTGAGCAAGGCAACCGGCAAACGAACGTGCAGTACAACCTAAGGCAAACACAAAGACGAACCAAGCAAGCCTGTCAGTGCCATGCATGCAAGATCCGTATATCAATGGAATTGTTCGTGATGCATACAACACCAGCGACAACCAACAAATAACCGCAGCCCAGCACCGGCACCGGAGGACCCCCTCCAAGGAGAGGGAGTGTGGGCGGGGGGGGTGGAGGGGGGTGTCTGAAATAGGTACCGATACTATTTCCGGGCCGTTTGCCTGGTAGGGGGGTCAGGGGGCTCTGCCACAGGCATCTCTCTCTCTTCGCAAAGCCCATGAAAGCAACAGTCCTCTACACAATTCCTTTGGGACTTGACGCATTTAAAAAACGTGGCCTGTGTGGGAAGAAACGGCACATGCTGACATTGGCACGGGTTGGTCACCCCCCATTGTAGCCCCCCACTGCGGCAATGGATATGGTCTGATCTGGACGTGATCATGGTTGGCCCATGGATGCTCTGCGGCAACTGATGTGGTCTGATCTGGACGTGATCACGGTTGGCCCATGGATGCTCTGCGGCAATGGATATGGTCTGACCTGGACGTGATCATGGTTGGCCCATGGATGCTCTGCGGCAATGGATATGGTCTGATCTGGACGTGATCATGGTTGGCCCATGGATGCTCTGCGGCAACTGATGTGGTCTGATCTGGACGTGATCATGGTTGGCCCACGGATGCTCTGCGGCAATGAATATGGTCTGATCTGGACGTGATATGACGTGATCATGGTTGGCCCATGAATGCTCTGCGGCAATGGATATGGTCTGATCTGGACGTGATCATGGTTGGCCCATGGATGCTCTGCGGCAACTGATATGGTCTGATCTGGACGTGATCATGATTGGCGCGGTAGACCATGGACGTCTTTAGGTCTTGGACATGGATGCGCTGTTTCGAAATCGAAGTGGACATCAGTAGACCATATAGGTCTTGGACATGGATGCGCTGTTGTGGACACGCCGGAACCACCGATGGCAATGGTGTTTTCGGCAAGTGAACCGCAGTAGACCGGAACCACCGATGGCAGTGGTGTTTTCGGCAGGTGAACCGCAGCAGACCATGGACGTCATGAGGTCTTGGACATGGATGCGCTGTTGTGGACACGCCGGAACCATCGATGGCAGTGGTGTTTTCGGCAGGTGAACCGGAGCTGCTTCGAGCTCGCCGCTGCCGCCTCGTCGTGTTCGGCATCGAAACTGGTGGGCGCTGGAGTGAGGAAGCCGCGACCTTCCTCCGACTTCTCGCGCCGGCCCGCGCAGCCAGCGCACCTGTCGCCGTCCGCCGCGCTGCTCAAGCCGCTTGGGTGTACCGTTGGAGCGGCATCCTCTCCGTTGCCGCGCAGCGAGCCTTCGCCACTTCGCTGCTCGAGCTTCCCGCTGCCGCAGAGCTCGGTGCTGCTGGTGACCCACCCGCTTTGCACGAGCTCCTGGCCGACGCACGCTAGCCCGCCCTGCCTAACCCGTAGACAGCAGTTTGCACAGGGACCGGACCTAGTACCTCTGGTGCTGTCGCAAGAAGGTGCGTGAAAAAAAAAAAAAACACACAAGACACCGCATATACCGATGTTTCAGGCGCCACTAGAGACGCGGAAAGTGGACACGCCGGAACCACCGATGACAGTGGTGTTTTCGCCATTTGACCCACGCAAAACACCGCAAAAACCAGTGGAATTGGCACATGCGAAACGCGCGTTTACAGGTGGTCCGAGCCAAGAACAAGAACAAAACAAGAACGATAACAACTAACAACAGCAACAAGCATAACCACAGTCCTAGGCGACAATGTTTGCAACACTGATCGAAACCCACGACCACGACGGCCATGACCGCGAGGAGACCGCCACGGGGCTACCAAACACCAGCAGCACCAGCAAACCACCGCGAAACGACGGGGGCGACCACTGAAGGACCACCAGCAGCCCCACAAGCTGTCACAAAACACGTGTGCGGACGACGGCCAACAGGATACCAACTTTTTCAGTTTGCCGACGATATCGACAACGACCGCAACAAAATACGACAAGAATCGACAAGATCAACAAACGGAAAAAACAGTGTCAACATTTCCACATCGCGTCCAGCAACCATAAGAACACCAACAACAGTAGCAACCCAACCAACCACAACCGCAACGGAAATAATTAGCACAACAACAACAACAGCTGCAGCAACTTCAACATCAGCAACAACAGCAGCAGCAACAACAACGGCAGCGACAACAACAACGCAGCAACGGCGGCATCAATACAGCAACCCCGGCCCCGAAACCGGCAATGACAACAACAACAACAACAACAAAAAGTACAAAAAAAACCCACATCAGGATGCCGTTTCTGTGTTCGCCAAATCAAGCGAGTGAGTGGGTAAGATAAGGAAGGACTAGGTAAGCATTTGATTCGTATGTGTCCTGGTGCATTGCATTTCGCGGTCGTGGCCCTGTGCCACCGTGTCGGTGCGTGTGTACGTGCGTGTGCGTGCATGCGTACGTGCGTACATACGATTACATATGTGTACGTACGTTTGTGTGTGTGTGTGCATGCGTGTGCGTGTGTGTGTGTGTGTGCATGCGTCCAATGATGTCTGCATGTAATGTTGAAGTTAAAAAACCAAAATAGATCGCAGCCGCATAAATGAACAGGCTGCATGACTCGCATGACTTCTGCGACAAACAACTACAACGATGTGGCGTTCCACCAAACTATAAAAGAGCTAGCAGGGCCTGCCACTGGCCCTTCTACGGCACAGTCTTGGGAGGCTGCAGACACGCACCAGCACTTTTGCAGCAAGGCATAACAAAGCTCCGTGTCGGGGTGCATGCTGTGCGTGCCCTTGCGCGTGCGCGCGCGCGTGCATGAGCGCAAGCGCGCACACGTGTGTGTCTGTGTGTCTGTGTGCGTGTCGTGTATGTCTCTGTGTGTGTTTCTCGTTGTCCGTGTGTCTGTGTCGGCATGTGTGTGTGGCCGCAACCACAACCACGACCAAAACCAAGACCCCAGCCCCTACTCCAACAGCCACAGGACCAAGAATAACCACAACGACACCGACGAGGACAGCAGCAACATGAACGACAACCATAACAGCAGCAACCAAAGACAACAACAAACGCAAGCGCAAGCCCCACCACCGCCATCCGCAGACTCGATTCCATGCCACCATTACCTCAACCGCACCGCACGGGCAGAAAATGAGGTAAGCGAACCCAGAGCAAACCACAACCACAGCTACTGCAAACAAACCACAAACACAGGCACACCCGCAAGAACAGCAACAGCTACGCAGCAGCAACAACACAGCAACAGCAAAAACACCAGCACCAGTAGCAGCCTTAGCGACAAGCGCCGACAACAAAACGACAACCAACAGTAACAAACAGCAACAACAACACAACACTAACAAAAACCAACAGAGCCAAAAACAACAACCACAACAGCAACAACAACCACCACAAGAACAGCACCAACAACATCAACACCAAAACCAACAGCAACAACAACACCAACAAATTACGGAAAACAACGCCAAAAACGCAAACAACAACCTGAACAACCCCACCAAAACCACTCGCACCACTGCCGCCAACAAAAACAAAAAACAACAACAACAACAACAACAACAACAACAACAACAACAACCCACAAACAGCAGCCAACAAACAACAACCAACCACGAACAACAACAACAGCCACACCCGCCAGCGGCAGCATCAGCAGCAACAACAACAACGACAACGCCAACAAACACAGCCACAACCACAACAACAACAACAACAACAACGACAACAACAACAACAACAATGCCAAAAAACACCAACACCACCACCAACAACAACCACAGCCACAACTGCAACCTCTGTCACAACCACAACCACAACGACATCCACCACAACCACAACGAACACGACAAAAACAACACCAATCGCAGCCACAACAAAAATACACAACCACGACCACAACAACCACCACAATCCCACGACAGCTACCACAGGCACAACATGCGCAACAAGCACAACAACAACCACAACCACCACCACCACCACCGCCACCACGACAACGACAGCCGACAAC